CAGGAGCTCCAGGAGATAATGTGCATTGTATCAAGCACTCACAATGCCTGGGGAACATAGGGAGAGAACTCTGCTCCCCTCTGTGCTGAGGCAGAGGCGAGGATGAGGGACCTACATTATGTCCCTGACCCTAGAGAGGAAGGATGGTCTTGTGGTTAAGGCACTGAATGGAGTCTCAGGAGACTAGCTCCTGGTTCTACCAGAGACTTGCTGCATGACTTTGGGTAAGTCCTTTAGGGCCTGACCAGGCCTTTACTCTGTATGTAGTTCCCCATCGATCAAAAGGGTATAAAAATGCTTCCGTTGTAAGTCTTAATAGGCACTGTCTCTCACTATTTGTGTTTACAGGATCTAGCACAACGGGGCCCCAAGCTTAACTGGGGCCTCTGAATGCTACCACAATACAAATAAATAATCTGTTGTTTGAATGCATTCACTGAATAATTTATGGGAATAATTCTTGGCCTGAAGCTTGTTCACAATTAACTCATTGTGAGTGTTTTAGAAGTATTTTTGACACAGGTTTTACAGGTTTTACAGGTTTTTGACACAGGTTTGAGCATTTGGTCACATGACAAGCTTCTGTTGCTTGATTGGAGGAGTTAGAATCCATTTTCAGGTGTGAATACTTGTGATTAAGGATTCAAAACTATTTTTGTTCACATATCCTAAAATAGGATCCTAAACATGCTTTTAGAAGTGACGATTTGAAGAAATATGTTTGCAGTATTCACCCAGCTCTGCTACAGATGACCACTTCCTTGCATTATTTAATTTTGCAGTATATTTTAGAATGCAGGAGTCTGAGATGTACGACACACAACAAAGCTTTGTTGTGTTGTTTTGAACTGAGAATGGCGGTGAGTGATGTCACAGGGACATAGGGAGGAGCAGGTTCTAGAAGGGGGAGCAGTTAGAGGGGGAGACACTGGGTGTCGGTTGGGAACTTTCAGACCAGACTCTGCTGTGGAGGAAGCTGTGATCAGAAGCTGTACGTTAAGGTTTGGGGGGGTACAACTGTCCCTTAAAATATTAGCCATCCTGTCCAAGAAGGCTCTGTCCTGCTGTTGCTATTGCCACCAGTAAGAACTGATAATACCTTTTGCTACTGTTTCATTAATACCACCACACCTGCCAAAATCTGGAGACAAAACAGTGCTCAGTAAATTAGCATTAATGTGTAGATATTTGCATAAGTTCAGGCTCAACCTATCAGAAGCTTATGCCTTCCCATTTTAGGGGCAACAAACCACCAGTGAGAGAAATATTTGCATGTTTGATGGCTCTAGATAAGGGTCATAAGGGGCAGGGTCAATAGCAGCTTTATACCTTCCTGATTGGGGTCTAGCTAGAAGCTGGCATAGCAGTGTGCTGACCACCCTGCATTCTCCCCCAACATGTACCCTATTCGAGAGATGGGGTAGGGCCAGCCACAGTTAAGAGAATCCCCAATGGGCCAGTTAAGTCAATTTTCCAGCTGCTTTCCACTGCTGGAGAGATGTGAAACAGGTGGAACAAGGGGCCTAAGAGCAGGCCCCATGTATATAAGTCCAATAAATAATAAACCCAGGCAATATTCCCCCTCTTACTCTTATTCTTTTATTCATGGTGACAAGTCCTAAGAAGATGAGGAAGAGGACAGTAGGGAAAATGCCTGTTAGCATTATAACTGTATCACTTAATTAATCCCAAAAATACCATAATGTTGGGAACACTGGGGCATGGCCACTAGGTAACTCGAGGGGATGGAAGACCACGAGTGTCGATGAAGCCCCCTCGCACTAGGCCCCGGTGTCCTTGCCCCCCCCCCCCGCCTGGAGGCACTCGCAGCAGCTCTGCGTGCTAGGCCCAAGTGTCCTTGGCCCCCCCGCCTGGAGGCACACACAGCAGTTATGCTGAGAATCTGCAACAGTATGTTGCAGAGTCAGACTGCCTGAAACTAAGCAAGGCCAAACAGGGGAAATATGGAAGAACAATGCTGAATAAAGCAGCTTTATGTATAGTTTAACAAATGATACAGAGAATCAGGGAACTAGCTGGGAACTGGATTGGCTGGCTATATGGGTACTTGGAGCAGCTTGCTATTGGATAAGTATGCTGGGAAAAAGGATGTATAAAAGCCTGTGTAACTTCCTGCTCTGTTGTACAGGATTTGAGATTCAAATCTCCCTGTACCTTTTTGAAGCTTCAAATAAACTTTTCTGCTTCTCCACCCCGTTGTGATTATTGGGTGTAGCACACCGGGTAACGAACCAACTCAAGCTGTTGTTCAGCCTCTCGGCACTGGGTGCCGGCAACAATAATGAAATAAAGTAAGCCAGGTCATTTTCAACAAGTCTCTACTGGTGGGTTTAAAAGATCCAGCAATGACATATTAAATATTCAGTCTGGAAATACAGGGATTAAAAAAGCCACATTCCCATTTTTTCCCTTTCTGTCTTTCCCTTGCTTTCTGACCTTAGGAACAAGCTGATAAATTGCTAAGTAGCCCCTAAGATGCTTTCACAGTAGATTTCAAGATGGAATAGGATGAAAGGAAAAATCTGAGAAATGTGGTCCAAAAAACCGGAACAGAAAGTATTTTCTGTCTTGTGAGGCTGGGGAATCTGGGGTTGGAGAATCTAAAGGAGGGATGCCAGAGAAACACTAGATGACTCTGAAACATGTTAGTGTCAAGGCTTTTCTAATACATACAAACAATGCTCCAATTTCATAAGATTTCTCCCTTTGATGCCTCCCTCCATCCACACACACTCAGAGCCGAGAATCAGAAAAAAACAAGTTTCCTTGAAGACCTGTAGAAAAGACCAAAACTGTAGCATACAGGGAGAATCATAGAATCATAGAATATAAGGGTTGGAAGGGACCCCAGAAGGTCATCTAGTCCAACCCCCTGCTCGAAGCAGGACCAATTCCCAGTTAAATCATCCCAGCCAGGGCTTTGTCAAGCCTGACCTTAAAAACCTCTAAGGAAGGAGATTCTACCACCTCCCTAGGTAACGCATTCCAGTGTTTCACCACCCTCTTAGTGAAAAAGTTTTTCCTAATATCCAATCTAAACCTCCCCCACTGCAGCTTGAGACCATTACTCCTCGTTCTGTCATCTGATACCATTGAGAACAGTCTAGAGCCATCCTCTTTGGAACCCCCTTTCAGGTAGTTGAAAGCAGCTATCAAATCCCCCCTCATTCTTCTCTTCTGCAGGCTAAACAATCCCAGCTCCCTCAGCCTCTCCTCATAACTCATGTGTTCCAGACCCCTAATCATTTTTGTTGCCCTTCGCTGGACTCTCTCCAATTTATCCACATCCTTCTTGAAGTGTGGGGCCCAAAACTGGACACAGTACTCCAGATGAGGCCTCACCAATGTCGAATAGAGGGGAACGATCACGTCCCTCGATCTGCTCGCTATGCCCCTACTTATACATCCCAAAATGCCATTGGCCTTCTTGGCAACAAGGGCACACTGCTGACTCATATCCAGCTTCTCGTCCACTGTCACCCCTAGGTCCTTTTCCACAGAACTGCTGCCTAGCCATTTGGTCCCTAGTCTGTAGCTGTGCATTGGGTTCTTCCATCCTAAGTGCAGGACCCTGCACTTATCCTTATTGAACCTCATCAGATTTCTTTTGGCCCAATCCTCCAATTTGTCTAGGTCCTTCTGTATCCTATCCCTCCACTCCAGCGTATCTACCACTCCTCCCAGTTTAGTATCATCCGCAAATTTTCTGAGAGTGCAATCCACACCATCCTCCAGATCATTTATGAAGATATTGAACAAAACCGGCCCCAGGACCGACCCTTGGGGCACTCCACTTGATACCGGCTGCCAACTAGACATGGAGCCATTGATAACTACCCATTGAGCCCGACAATCTAGCCAGCTTTCTACCCACCTTGTAGTGCATTCATCCAGCCCATACTTCCTTAACTTGCTGACAAGAATACTGTGGGAGACCGTGTCAAAAGCTTTGCTAAAGTCAAGAAACAATACATCCACTGCTTTCCCTTCATCCACAGAACCAGTAATCTCATCATAGAAGGCGATTAGATTAGTCAGGCATGACCTTCCCTTGGTGAATCCATGCTGGCTGTTCCTGATCACTTTCCTCTCATGCAAGTGCTTCAGGATTGATTCTTTGAGGACCTGCTCCATGATTTTTCCAGGGACTGAAGTGAGGCTGACTGGCCTGTAGTTCCCAGGATCCTCCTTCTTCCCTTTTTTAAAGATTGGCACTACATTAGCCTTTTTCCAGTCATCCGGGACTTCCCCGGTTCGCCACGAGTTTTCAAAGATAATGGCCAATGGCTCTGCAATCACAGCCGCCAGTTCCTTCAGCACTCTCGGATGCAACTCGTCCGGCCCCATGGACTTGTGCACGTCCAGCTTTTCTAAATAGAAGAAGTAGACTTGGCAGGTCTGGGCCTTCAATGCCACAAACTATTCTTATAAGGGTCCCAGGGAAAATGTGGGGAGGGAGGGAAGAGAAGGGCCCCTGAGAGAGCAAAGTTACTGCTATCATTGCGGACATGCTTCCAGAGTAAGAAGTGGCCATTGGCCAAAATGTCTTAGCCTTTAATATGTGTAACCCTTTGCCAGGCGGATCGCACTTGTCAGCCTTCCAGTTCCCAGGGGACATCTGACTCTTCACCATGTACATAATTATGAGAAAGTCAGCTGTGAAGTTCTGATGCCGTTAGCCTCAGTGTTTTCAGTTTTTGGATTAATAAAACTTGTTAGTCTTTTAGATTGTCCAGTTTACAGTGTGTGTTTGTGCACGCATGCACACTCTGTAGTGCCTCTGTGCGAAACAAATACCCCTCTGAGGGCAAGATTATAGCCATGGGCGAAAGAGAAGGTACCACAGCTGGAGTGAAAAGTTTAATACTGGGTTACCTCAGGGACAGTCAGGCCAGTATTTCTTATGGAAATAGGGAGTTTAGACCTTTGGCCACAGAATTCCCCCTCTGATATTTAGTTCTTCTATTTTTTCCTCAAAGGTGGAACTGAGGTTCCCCATTCTCTGGCAAAAATGAAGGCGCTCACACTTCTCTCCCTGCTCGGCTGCCTGATCACGGCAAATGAAGCAAAAATCTTTAGCCGATGTGAACTAGCCTATACGCTGCATGAAGAAGGGCTGGACGGGTATGAGGGTTACAGCCTCGCCAACTGTGAGTTTTAGTGCTCCCTCCTTCTCACGCACACACTTCTCCCCAATTTCCCCTCACGACAAACTCCCTTCACTCTTTCACCCTGTCTACCACTCCCTCGTTCCCGCTGCCTTTTCCCCACTCCCACTATTTGTCTGTCTCTGCATGCTGTCTCCCTCCTCTCCAGGGCTCTGCCTTCATGTACTCCCCCGAGTTGCCCCTGTTTCTGTGGACAGCCTCTGCAGTGGACAGTGAGCATGTTCTCTTCCCGCATTAGGGATCTGCATGGCATTCTTTGAGAGCGGCTTCAATTCAGCAGCAGAGGACGACAATGCAGATGGCAGCACGGACTATGGCATCTTCCAGATCAACAGCCGTGTCTGGTGCAACAACTACCGGAGTCCCACTGAGAACCTCTGTCACATACCCTGCACTGGTACTGTCCCTAACCCTTCCCCTCATCCACCCCCCCTCCCCAAGGGTGGAGAGAGCAGCTGCAGGATTCCTGCCCATGTCGTGGTAGGCTGCTCTTCATTCCTCAGTTAAAAATTAACACACAGCTCTCATTCCCCTTTGGTACCATCCCCTTTGGCAGGGATACACATAATGCATATCCTGGGAATGAGAGCTCCATGGTACCATCCCCCCTTTCTAGGACCCTGTGGAGGGCTCCCTGCAGGGCTGGGCTCTGGGTGGAGAGTAGGCAGCCCTGAATTGGGTAGGGCTGAGGTGGAGAAAACACATTTTCTCATCATTAGCCATGTGGTGGTTACCTGAGAAAGATAACAGCCTGGAGCCGTGTTACTTGTTCTGTGGAACCACTTCCATCATGGGAACTCCCCACTTTTAAGGGGGACACCCAGGCACAGCCATAGTAATGTGTTTTTCCTGGAAGCCACTTTGCCTGGGCTGGGGTGGGAAGGCAGGTTCAGAGCCATCCCAGAGGGGATGGGCAGAATGAGGTACCATCCCCTTTGGCAGGGATACACATAATGCATATCCTGGGATAATAAAACTCTGCCTTTCACCTGAGCGTATCAAAGTATGTCACACACTTGAATTAATTCAACCTCCCAACTCACCTATGGGAACAGTTTTCAGAGGAACAGCCGTGTTAGTCTGTATTCGCAAAAAGAAAAGGAGTACTTGTGGCACCTTAGAGACTAACCAATTTATTTGAGCATGAGCTTTCGTGAGCTACAGCTCACTTCATCAGTGAACAGTGTTATTACACCAATTGGTTAACTGACATGACCAAAACCATGCAACTTGTTGGAGCTGTGAACAGAATCCAGGAGTCCGGACTCCCACTCTCCTGTTCCAACCAACACATCAGATGCGCTCTTCAATGGAAAGTAGCAGAGGGTGCAGTGCAGCCTCTGGCAAGCTGGGGTGGGAGGTACCTGCTATTTACCATGTATGCTGAGGGGATTCTCCTCTTGACCTTTTTGGGTAGGGTAGGGCCCTTGGATCTCTCAGCTACCCAACAATGGTCCCTCCGATTCTTTTCTCTGTGTGTGGCTTGATAGGCTGAGTGAGTGCAAGTTTAATTCCTATGAGCTCAGCCCCTCTAGCCCATGCACCTCACTTGTTCTTCCCTACATTAAATCTAACTGTCCTCACAGGTTCTCTCCTCTAGCAACCTCTGCCCCCCTCGCTCTCATTGCTTCTCGCTCATTCCCTTAGCCTGGCCTCACGTCTTTCTCCCACTCCAATTCCTTCTGCCCACCACTACATTCTCTTCAGACCATTCCCCCATCCCATCACATCGCTCTTTCCCTACCTTCCCCTTCCCCTCCCATCGGCTTTCCCTTCTCTCTTAGGCCATCTTTCTCTTTCCACATATGAGGGCTGGGGAGGTCTAGGCAGATCTCTCCCTACCCAGTTCTGAGTGTGTGTGGGGGGATAGGGGGGCAGATGTTCTGGGATTGTCACCGCTTAGGTGGAGGACTCTGCCCGCCAATGTTCAGGCACAGCCGGGAGGTGTTGCTCTGATCTAGGTTCCCCTCACTCTCCCTGCTCTGAGAGTGCAGCAAGGAGGACAAGGGGGAGCCCAGTTCAATACTGCAGCTCTGTAGCTGCACAAGCAAGCAGCCCCTTTTGAATGTCACAGAGAGAGCACTACATAGGGATGGCCAGCCAAACAGCCATGTCCCTTATACTTGGGTGCACCACACTGAGATCTCACATGGGAAACCCCCATTCATGCTCCCCTCTTTTCCTTGCAGACTTGCTGTCAAATGACATAACAGATGACATAGTCTGTGCCAAAAGAATTGTGCAAGACCCACAAGGAATGGATGCCTGGTAAGGGGAGCCCTCAGAGATTCTCTTTGGAAATACGGATAAGCATTTGTGATTGTGAATGTTTGCCCTTTGCTTAAGTCTAACACCGAAGCAATACAAGTAAACACAATACATCCTTAGAACTTGGTGAACAGACAGTGCCTGATAAGCAAACTCATATTGCCTAATTTCAATTAAGAGAAACCATTTAGGAGAGATTATAGAGAAAGGAACAGAGGAAAAGAACTGTTGGACAAAACAAGGCAAAAATGAGGCATAAAGGGACAGTAAACATTCACATAGCCACTACACTGGCCTCTTTAAGGCTCACCTTTACCATGATAGCTACACAACAGCTATGCAGTTGTCTGGCTGAAACTGCTGCTCATTATACCAGTCACAGCGATTTCATGTTCCCTTGTCTGCCCCGCCTTTGTTTTTCCTCCACCTGTAGTCTCTTGTCATATGCTAAGATTGGAATTTCCTTTGCGAGGGGCAGTCTTTTTAGGATGTACAGTGCCTAGCATAAAGAAAAGGAGGACTTGTGGCACCTTAGAGACTAACAAATTTATTTGAGCATAAGCTTTCGTGAGCTACAGCTCACTTCATCAGATGCATTCAGTGGAAAATACAGTGGGGAGATTTATATACACAGAGAACATGAAACAATGGGTGTTACCATACACACTGTAAGGACAGTGATCAGGTAAGGTGAGCTATTACCAGCAGGAGAGTGGGGGGGGGAGGGTGAGGGGGGACCTTTTGTAGTGATAATCAAGGTGGGCCATTTCCAGCAGTTGACAAGAACGTCTGAGGAACAGCGGGGGGTGGGGGGGGGATGAATAAACATGGGGAAATAGTTTTACTTTGTGTAATGACCCATCCACTCCCAGTCTTTATTTAAGCCTAGGTTAATTGTATCCGGTTTGCAAATTAATTCCAATTCAGCAGTCTCTCCTTAGAGTCTGTTTTTGAAGTTTTTTTGTTGAAAAATTGCTACTTTTAGGTCTGTAATCGAGTGACCAAAGAGGTTGAAGTGTTCTCCAACTGGTTTTTGAATGTTATAATTCTTGACGTCTGATTTGTGTCCATTGATTCTTTTACGTAGAGACTGTCCAGTTTGGCTAATGTACATGGCAGAGGGGCATTGCTGGCACATGATGGCATATATCACATTGGTAGATGTGCAGGTGACATAGTGGAGCCCAAGTCCCGATTAAGGAGTATAATTCATGATAAAGACAGAATAATAAACAAATAGAGACTGAGAAAGGAGGTCAGAGAAAAATTCCAAAGCACATATAAATATGGAGTCATCACAAGACCCATAGCACTTTGTGCAAAAATAGATGGGTGAACCCCGGTGTCCTGACTAAGTTCCAATTTGGGGAGCCACCCATTCTGTTTTCAGGTTTCCCTCCTGTAGTTTCAGTTGGGCACATTATCCCCCTGCTCTTCCTGCAGTAGGGTGTTGCTTTGCATGTTTCACCACAGAGGCAGCAGTATGTAAGAGTGGATGAGGTAATTTCTGTATGCTATGTAGGCAATAAATTACTTAGGGATCCTTTGGCATGGAAATTACTGCAGCATGGTCGACTAGCCATTCAGTGAGCTCAATTCTGCTGCCCTGACACTGAGGAGTACCTTACTCCTTGGGTTTCATTTCAGTGGGACTGTTCCATCAGAGAGGAACTATTCGATGTGGGTAAGGGTGATAGGATCTGGCCTTATGATTGCTTAATCCAGGTCAGGTTTAGATAGACTTAGTGTGGTAACACACTGCACAGCACAGGCTGTGTTCCTCAGGCTGTGAGATAAAAGAGCCAGGGAGCTTCAGGGTCTCTGCGTGTCCAACATCCTGAAATCAGAATCCTCTTCCAGGATTTACTACAACAGATTCCCATCTCTTCTCTATTGCTAGGGACATTAGAGAAACATAATTTATTATTAATAATAATAATAAAACCTAAGTTTCACTCTTTGCCTTTTCCTTCCTCAGGGAGGACTGGACAATGCACTGCAAAGGGCGAGACCTGTCTGAGTGGGTGGATGGATGTGACCTGTGAGAAAGTCACCAGCCTGGCTCTGCTATGACTTCTCAGGGTTTTCCTGAAAAGGGAATGTTTCTGTCTCTCCCTGTGCACTTCTGGCAGTTAGCACATACAAACAATCCATTCCACAAACCAACAGGAAAAACACAAAACAACAAATACTAATTTAAAGTATAACTTTCAAAAAAAATAAATGGATTTATTAATTTAAAAGAAATCAGCTTAGGCCTTTAGTTTCACATACTATTTAGGACTCAACTCCAGATGATTTTCCTGAGCTTAGTTCTGTGTGAAACAGCAACTGGAAGGAGAAGTGGCTGATAGGCAAGGTTCTGGAGCTGCAATTATAACTGGTTCAAAAGGGTTTCCAGAAACTGCTGGGTGCTTTGGGGTTTTCAAAGAGGGCAAACTGGAGAAGCTCAAAGGTGTATGAACATGTCCCACAGAGAACGCATAAGATTTACCTGTATGCTAAAGGGTGCAAAATATGTGCCATGTGCCAGGTCTCACTGGGAGCTGGGCAAAATTTGTAAGTATTTGCTAACCAAAATGATGAGCAATTCCATCCTGTCTCTGTCACACACATTCCCACTGAAATGCAGCAAAATGTGCAATAAGTATGAAATCAATTTCCAAGTGGCTGAAAAGATAAATAAATGCTACTATAATCCAAAGTTTACAAAACTTAGCCACAGCACAAGCATGGTGAAGTCTACAACCATCCCGGATTGTCCTCATCTGCCCAGAGACAAGTGGAGCCTTGTATCTTGCAGGCCAGTGCATTTGTGTTCCTATCTGGGGTCACAGTGAGGGTTAGAGTCCAACCCCCAGCAGGTTCTGTTAATCCCTGGTCAGAGGTACCCATGTCCTGTTCTTACTCCCATTGAAGTCAATCAGAGTTTTGTCAGTGACATCAGTGGGAACAGAATTGAGCCCCAAAGTTTTGGTGGCTGGTGCATGCAGTAGTCTTGTTTATATCAGATCTCTGCTACTAGAAAGTGGGAGTTTGATCCTAATTTGAAAACCATTTCTAGACCTTCTAAAAATCCCAAATAAAAAGTCCACAGCAAAAGCAGAAATTAAATCAAGGACTCAGACTCAGCTAAGGCTGACGAGTGCACGGTGTAACTCATGGCTTTAAGCCATGTTTATACTTCCCTGTGCCTGGGCTGGCTGAGTGCTCGGCCAATCCCTCAGCATCAGTTAGATCACCCTGAGAGACAGCATGCATCAGTTACCTATGCCTCTCCTCGTCCCCCAGGAGCTGATACACCAGCTGCATCACCTCTCACCCATTCCCTCTACACTAGCTGCAGGGGTTGCATGGGAGTTGCTATGCCGGCTCTGTGCTGCTGAAGTATGGGTAATCCCCCAGTGTCCACATATGCAGAATTTAGATTGAGTTGAGTCCACAGTGCAGTGCAAAACAACTACAGTGCAGCCCACATGATAGGCCAAAGAGCTGAGATGGGAATCCCATAAAATGGCTGGAAACATTCCTAAATCTTTGGGATCCATTCAGATTATTACAGTCTATTATTAGATTTTTATAGAATTCTTTAATGTGTGTTGATCATTACCCATCTGTATGATGTGTTCTTTTGCTTTCACTAAAATGAATGGCGCCACATCGGAGTGGGTTGATTGGCACAGTAGCAGTTGGAATTCAAAAGCTAAAGTGACACTAAGTTTGACACAAAGAAATTGAGAGTGTGATGCTTCCCAGGGGCACCCAGGGCATGAGGAAATCTTGTCTGTGCCTGCTGTGGATCAGCTCCCTGAAACCACCAGCCTCTGACAACACAAATACTGTAGGCCTAACTCTCTCTGTACAGATTAGCAATAGGCACACACAAAACCCCGAGTCCTCCGAGCAACCCTCTGAAGTGCTCCGCCCCTGTTCCACTGAACACTCACAGAATTACCAGGCCTGCTGTTCCCAAAGAAATAGCACACACCAACTTGTAGGATTCAGTTCAGAATGACCACTTTACATAACACACAGCACTTACATATCTATCTCAAAAACAAGAATAAGTTTATCATCAAAGAACAGACATTCAAGTGAAAGAGAGTGAGAATATTGGAAACAAATGGTTACATATAAAATAAAATCATAACACACTTTCTAGAGGCTAAACTTAGCTAACAAGGCATTCCCCTATCTTCTGCAAGATGGCTTACTTCAAGTTCTTTCCCTGGCATTTTCAACCAGTTTGACTGAGACCCCCCTCTCATAAGATCAGTCCACTGACAGTTTGCCTCAGAGATTGAAAGAATAACTAGGGGTTCAACTATACCCCATATATAGTACCCCACTCCATTGTTTTAGTTTGCAAAACAGGATAAACCCTGCTGTTTACCTCTTCCTATTAATTTTCTCTCTTTGAAGATTTCACAATCCTTCATTATCATCGGGTTCAGACTTGCAAGTGGAGGTCCACTGTGAGCCAAACAATACATACTTTACATGAAAACAGATAGATGGTTTTCTTTCAGACATTTTTCACCTTTGCTGGTGACCAGTCCCTAGACACAGATCTTAACATAATTTTCCATGTATATACATAACTCCTTACACACCAGCCATATATGCATTTTCCATGTGACACAGGCTTTCAGTGGAGACCTCGCATGACAGTCTGATGAACTAGAATGTAAATACCTCACCAGGGGATTCCTATAACCCTTATGGCCTCTGCGAGTTGGCATCAAGAGGTCCCCGAGACACACAGTTAAAGAGAAATAGTTAGTTGTCCCCACTTCTGAGAATTGCCTGTGCCTGGTTATTTCTTGCTATCTTTTGGCAATGTATAAAAATACCAGAAGGTAGTTTTTGCTAAAAGGAAAAAAAAAATCAGAGCAACCATCCTGTTATAAATGGATTTGGGTCTGAAAATATTCCCAGGTTCATCAAACTTTGGCAGTTTTGACAACCCAACCTAGATTAAACAGACAGCATGGGGCTGACACTGAAATAATTAATGATAATCTTTTTCACAAAAGGCCCCCCTCACATCAAGACTCCAGATCCTAACCCACAGGAATGTTGGCATGTGAGACATCTATATCACAGAATGTATCCAAATTTGGAGGAAACAGATTTCCGTTTTTCCCCACCCTAGAGCTAAGGACAGTAGGGTGGATTAAGTATCAAATTCTCCTCTGTGATTCAAACTACAGATCTCTGTTACATATTCCTTGCATGTTCTGCAGACTTACAGTCCTGTTAAGTGCCTGGAGCAGGCATAGAGATGTGATGGACTTCTGTGAATTTCTTGATGGTATCAGCTACAGTTGCGTCAAACCACCTGTCGTAAAAGGTCTTCCTGGATATTTTGTTCAGCTAGAAAAATACTGCTTGTGCTGCATTTTTGTAGCACTATGGGGACATCGCGTGGTTGCTTTGAGTAATAGCTGATTGGTGTCCTCCCTCTTGCCCTATAATTATATAAGGGAAGATCGGGAGTCCTAGATTCACTTTTATTCAGACATGGAATAAGTAATTCACTTTCAACATGATCCATGTGTAATCTCAAAGGACATGCAGAATATATTTTCCTTGGTTTCTGTATGAAAGCAAGTTTTCCATTCATTTCTACAGCTAGCATTTGCTAGGTTTTCTCTAAGATCACCATATTTCCACTGCATTTCAGAACCTGTAAATCTTGTGATGACATAAGTATTCCAGGTAACTTGGCTAGCACTTATGTTTGAGCTAGCTAACCAACTGCTGGAAGACATTGCTACACTCATGGACAACAGGGATCATGAGATCATCTCTGGACACAGTATGAAAACTCCCACTGAGACATGAAAAATTACATACAGGGCCTGGGCATCTTCCCATTCAAGTCAAAGACAGGCTTGCCACTGACTTCAGTAGAAACAGGGCTGACCCCATACAGTACGTCAGTGCATAGCACTGCATTGCTTAAGACTATTTCAATATTTCCATTATATCCCCCCATCTTTCAGAAGTTTATAACTTGGACATAAAATATTCACTTGGCAAAAATCTCGGCAGCAAGTAAATTAGGGGATTTGTTTTTAACATATTTTCCCTGACACCAAAAATCCTCCCTGGATTTTTTAAGTTAAAAGAGTGCTACTATATATAAATGTTTACTAGTTGCACAGGATTTTTGCACTCCTGTAACTTAAAAATTACTTCACTCTTTCTTAAAGGAAAACTGCAATACAACTTAATGACTATCCCAATTACTACATCCAAGTGCCAAGAGGGGTAAGTTACTAAGGGTATGTCTACACTATGAAATTAGGTCGAATTTATAGAAGTCAGTTTTTTAGAAATCGGTTTTATATATTCGAGTGTGTGTGTCCCCACAGAAAATGCTCTAAGTGCATTAAGTGCATTAACTCGGCGGAGTGCTTCCACAGTTCCGAGGCTAGAGTCGACTTCCGGAGCATTGCACTGTGGGTAGCTATCCCACAATTCCCGCCGTCTCCGCTGCCCATTGGAATTCTGGGTTGAGATCCCAATGCCTGATGGGGCTAAAACATTGTCGTGGGTGGTTCTGGGTACATATCGTCAGGCCTCCGTTCCCTCCCTCCCTCCATGAAAGCAAGGGCAGACAATCGTTTCGCGCCTTTTTTCCTGAGTTACCTGTGCAGACGCCATACCATGGCAAGCATGGAGCCCGCTCAGCTCACTGTCACCGTATGTCTCCCGGGTACTGGCAAACACGGTACTGCATTGCTACACAGTAGCAGCAACCCATTGCCTTGAGGCAGAACACGGTGCAATAGGACTGGTAGCTGTCATCGTCATGTACGAGGTGCTCCTGGTCGCCTGTGTGAGGTCGATCAGGAGCGCCTGGGCAGACATGGGCACAGGGACTAAATTTGGAGTGACTTGATCAAGTCATTCTCTTTAGTCCTGCAGTCAGTCCTATTGAACCATCTTATGGTGAGCAGGCAGGCGATACAGATTGCTAGCAGTTGTACTGTACCATCTTCTGCCAGGCAGGCAAGAGATGAGGATGGCTAGCAGTCCTACTGCACCGTTTTCGGCTGAGCAGCCATGAGATGTGGATGGCTTGCAGTCCTTCTGCACCGTCTGCTGCCAGCCAAAGATGTAAAAGATAGATGGAGTGGATCAAAACAAGAAATAGACCAGATTTGTTTTGTACTCATTTGCTCCCCCCCCCCCCCGTCTAGGGGACTCATTCCTCTAGGTCACACTGCAGTCACTCACAGAGAAGGTGCAGCGAGGTAAATCTAGCCATGTATCAATCAGAGGCCAAACTAACCTCCTTGTTCCAATAAGAACAATAACTTAGGTGCACCATTTCTTATTGGAACCCTCTGTGAAGTCCTGCCTGAAATACTCCTTGATGTAAAGCCACTCCCTTTGTTGATTTTAGCTCCCTGAAGCCAACCCTGTAAGCCGTGTCGTCAGTCGCCCCTCCCTCCGTCAGAGCAACGGCAGACAATCGTTCCGCGCCTTTTTTCTGTGCAGACGCCATACCAAGGCAAGCATGGAGGCTGCTCAGCTCACTTTGGCAATTAGGAGCACATTAAACACCACACGCATTATCCAGCAGTATATGCAGCACCAGAACCTGGCAGAGTGATACCGGGTGAGGAGGCGACGTCAGTGCGGTCACGTGAGTGATCAGGACATGGACACAGATTTCTCTGAAAGCGTGGGCCCTGCCAATGCATGCATCATGGTGCTAATGGGGCAGGTTCATGCTGTGGAACGCTGATTCCGGGCTCGGGAAACAAGCACAGACTGGTGGGACCGCATAGTGTTGCAGCTCTGGGACGATTCCCAGTGGCTGCGAAACTTTCGCATGCGTAAGGGCACTTTCATGGAACTTTGTGACTTGCTTTCCCCTGCCCTGAAGCGCATGAATACCAAGATGAGAGCAGCCCTCACAGTTGAGAAGCGAGTGGCGATAGGCCTGTGAAGCTTGCAACGTCAGACAGCTACCGGTCAGTTGGGAATCAATTTGGAGTGGGCAAATCTACTGTGGGGGCTGCTGTGATGCAAGTAGCCCACACAATCAAAGATCTGCTGATATCAAGGGTAGTGACCCTGGGAAATGTGCAGGTCATAGTGGATGGCTTTGCTGCAATGGGATTCCCTAACTGTGGTGGGGCCATAGACGGAACCCATATCCCTGTCTTGGCACCGGAGCACCAAGCCGGCGAGTACATAACCCGCAAAGGGTACTTTTCAATAGTGCTGCAAGCTCTGATGGATCACAAGGGATGTTTCACCAACATCAACGTGGGATGGCCGGGAAAGGTACATGATGCTCGCATCTTCAGGAACTCTGGTCTGTTTCAAAAGCCGCAGGAAGGGACTTTATTCCCAGACCAGAAAATAGTGTTGGGGATGTTTAAATGCCTATAGTTATCCTTGGGGACCCAGCCTACCCCTTAATGCCATGGCTCATGAAGCCGTACACAGGCAGCCTGGACAGTAGTCAGGAGCTGTTCAACTACAGGCTGAGCAAGTGCAGAATGGTGGTAGAATGTGCATTTGGACGTTTAAAGGCGCGCTGGTGCAGTTTACTGACTCGCTTAGACCTCAGTGAAACCAATATTCCCACTGTTATTACTGCTTGCTGTGCACTCCACAATATCTGTGAGAGTAAGAAGGAGACGTTTATGGCGGGGTGGGAGGTTGAGGCAAATCGCCTGGCTGCTGGTTACGTGCAGCCAGACACCAGGGCGGTTAGAAGAGCAGAGGAGGGCGCGGTACGCATCAGAGAAGCTTTGAAAACCAGTTTCATGACTGGACAGGATACGGTGTGAAAGTTCTGTTTGTTTCTCCTTGATGAAACCCTCCGCCCCTTGGTTCACTCTACTTCCCTGTAAGCTAACCACCCTCCCATCCTCCCTTCGATCACCGCTTGTAGAGGCAATAAAATCATTGTTGCTTCACATTCATGCATTCTTTATTCATTCATCACACAAATAGGGGGATGACTACCAAGGTAGCCCAGGAGGGGTGGTGGAGGAGGGAAGGAAAATGCCACACAGCACTTTAAAAGTTTACAACTTTAAAATTTATTGAATGCCAGCCTTCTGTTTTTTTGGGCAATCCTCTGTGGTGGAGTGGCTGGTTGGCTGGAGGCCCCCCCACCGCGTTCTTGGGCGTCTGGGTGAGGAGGCTATGGAACTTGGGGAGGAGGGCGGTTGGTTACACAGGGGCTGTAGTGGCAGTCTGTGCTCCAGCTGCCTTTGCTGCAGCTCAGCCATACACTGGAGCATACTGGTTTGGTCCTCCAGCAGCTTCAGCATTGAATCCTGCCTCCTCTCATCACGCTGCCGCCACATTTGAGCTTCAGTCCTGTCTTCAGCCCGCCACCTCTCCTCCCGGTCATTTTGTGCTTTCCTGCACTCTGACATTATTTGCCTCCACGCATTCATCTGTGCTCTGTCAGTGTGGGAGGCAGCATGAGCTCAGAGAATATTTCATCATGAGTGCGTTTTTTTTTTCTTTCTAATCTACACTAGCCTCTGGGAAGGAGAAGATCCTGTGATCATTGAAACACATGCAGCTGGTGGAGAAAAAAAAAGGGACAGCGGTATTTAAAAAGACACATTTTATAAAACAGTGGCTACACTCTTTCAGGGTAAACCTTGCTGTTAACATTACATACATAGCATGTGTGCTTTCGTTACAAGGTCGCATTTTGCCTCCCCCCACCACGTGGCTACCCCCTCATCCCTCCCCCCTCCCCGTGGCTAACAGCGGGGAACATTTCTGTTCAGCCACAGGCAAACAGCCCAGCAGGAACGGGCATCTCTGAGTGTCCCCTGAAGAAAAGCACCCTATTTCAACCAGGTGACCATGAATGATACCTCACTCTCCTGAGGATAACACAGAGAGATAAAGAACGGATGTAGTTTGAACGCCAGCAAACATACACTGCAATGCTTTGTTGTACAATGATTCCTGAGTATGTGTTACTGGCCTGGTGTGGTAAAGTGTCCTACCATGGAGGACGCAATAAGGCTCCCTCCCCAGAAACCTTTTGCAAAGGCTTTGGGAATACATCCAGGAGAGCCGCGAATGCCAGGGCAAATTAATCCTTTCACATGCTTGCTTTTGAACCATGTACAGTATTTTAAAAGGTACACTCACCGGAGGTCCCTTCTCCGCCTGCCGGGTCCAGGAGGCAGCCTTGGGTGGGTTCGGGGGGTACTGGCTCCAGGTCCAGGGTGAGAAACAGTTCCTGGCTGTCGGGAAAACTGGTTTCTCCGCTTGCTTGCTGTGAGCTATCTACAACCTCATCATCATCATCATCTTCTTTGTCCCCAAAATCTGCTTCCGTGTTGCCTCCATCTCCATTGAAGGAGTCAAACAACACGGCTGGGGTAGTGGTGGCTGAACCCCCTAAAATGGCATGCAGCTCATCATAGAAGCGGCATGTTTGGGGCTCTGACCCGGAGCAGCCATTTGCCTCTCTGGTTTTCTGGTAGGCTTGCCTCAGCTCCTTAAGTTTCTCACGGCACTGCTTCGGGTCCCTGTTATGGCCTCCGTCCTTCATGCCCTGGGAGATTTTGACAAAGGTTTTGGCATTTCGAAAACTGGAACGGAGTTCTGATAGCATGGATTCCTCTCCCCATACAGCGATCAGATCCCGTACCTCCCGTTCCGTCCATGCTGGAGCTCTTTTGCGAATCTGGGACTCCATCATGGTCACCTCTGCTGATGAGCTCTGCATGGTCACCTGCAGCTTGCCACACTGGCCGAACAGGAAATGAGATTCAAAAGTTCGTGGTTCTTTTCCTGTCTACCTGGCCAGTGCATCTGAGTTGAGAGTGCTGTCCAGAGCGGTCACAATGGAGCACTCTGGGATAGCTCCCGGAGGCCAATACTATCGAATTGTGTCTACAGTACCCCAAATTCGAGCCGGCAAGGCCGATTTCAGCACTAATCCCCTTGTCAGGGGTGGAGTAAGGAAATCGATTTTAAGAGCCCTTTAAGTCGAAATAAAGGGCTTCATCGTATGGACAGGTGCAGGTTTACATCGATTTAACGCTGCTAAATTTGACCTAAAGTCCTAGTGTAGACCAGGGCTAATAGGAACAACATTCAGGCAGGAGGTTACACTCTGGAGAGACTGCTGCTATAGGGTGCCTAGTCCTGTAGTCCTTACTCATACAAATAATGCCCACTGCAGTCAGTGGAGCATTTTGGCTGTGTTACAAATGCAGGACCGGTTCCAGGAACTGCCTCTCACTATGTGAATGGCCACAGCAAGATACTTTCAAAGGTGGGGGTTGTAAGTTCTATTTTATTTGGTTAATTTAACAGTTGTTTGTATCAGCAAAATGTCTGCTGCCATTGAGAGACATACCAGCACCATTCCGCATTATGGCAATATTTCTGCAATATATTTCTGCAAATTTCTCTGACAAATAATGTATTACCACAGATATAACAAGAATATTTATTACATATTTATTTTCTCGCCACGGGTCTGCTCCTGCATGCCCTTAGTCACATGGGTAAAACTTACTCCTGAAAATAGACACCAGTGGCATTTACTGATGAGAATCTGGCCTGATATCTTTAGTCTTGTGTGGCCAGTAGAACCAGTTCTGTATCAAATCACTGCTCCTCTCAACCACTCTTCTCTATCTTAATGAGATCTCTATCTTAGGACTTAAAGAGCTCAATCTGTTTAGTTTATCAAAAAGTAGACTGAGAAATGACTTGATGGCAGTGACATCCCTGCTTATACTTGCTCAGTCTCAGTAAGGACAGGAGCTATTAGGATATACACCTACATAGCAAATGAAGGTGTGATTGTAGCATGAATAGCTACATTTGTGTTAGCTTTAATCTAGCTGCCATGGATAACAATAGTAGTGAAGATGTGGCAGCATGGGCTTCAGTGCAGACTAGCTGTCCCAATACAAGCTGTCCAGGGATCTTTGGTATCTAATCAGGTTCCTAGCCCATGCTGAAGTCCATGCCACCATGTCTTTACTGCTATTTTTATCCATGCCAGCTAGAATAAAGTAAGCATTGGTATGCCTACTGATGTTACAATCACCTCTATTTGCTGTGTACGCATACCCTTTGTTTGTCATTTGGATCATTTACATGAATGAGATTCTAAATAGCATTGAAACACACAGAAAACCCCAAAACAAAAAAACCCTTTGCTTTAACATTAGTGACAAGAGAAAATCCATATGGGAAAAAAAGCCAGAAGTACTTTTGATTTTAGAGCATCACTAATTTTGGCTGATTTTCTGCAATATTCTTCAAATTCTAAGATGTCATTACAAAGTTAACGGGCTAACTTTTTCATGTGTGAATATACAGCTATTGAACTAAAACTGATGGAAGTAATGTGGAAAGGGAAGTACAAGGAAGGAGTACTATGAAAAGGGAACTGGGGGTTACAGTGGATCCCAAGCTAAATATGAGTCAACAGTGTAACTGTAACTGTTGCAAAAAAAAGCCAACATCATTCTGGGATGTATCAGCAGGAGCACTATAAGCAAGATACAAGTAGTAATTCTACCACTCTACTCTGATAAGGCCTCAGCTGGAGTCTTGAGTCCAATTCTGGGTGCCACAATTCAGGAAAGATGTGGAGAAATTGGAGAAAGTCCAGAGGAGAACAACAAAAACGATTAAAGGTCTAGGAAACATGACCCATGAGGAAAGATTGAAAAAAATGGGGTTGTTTAGACTGCAGAAGAGAAGATTGGGGTGGTGGGGGTTTATGATAATAGTTTTCAAATCCATAAAAGTTTGTTATAGGGAGGAAGGTAAAAAAAAACGTTCTCAATCTCTGAGGATAGGACAAGAAGCAATGGTCTTAAATTGCAGCAAGGGAGGTTTAGATTGGACATTAGGGAAAACTTCCTAACTGTCAGGGTGGTTAAGCACTGGAAAAAGTTACCTAGGGAGGCTGTGAAATCTCCAACACTGGAGGTTTCTAAGAACAGGTTAGACAACTACCTGTCAGGAATGGTCTAGTTATTACTTAGTCCTGCCTTGAATGCAGGGGACTGGACTAGATGACCTACTGAAGCCCTCCCTTCCAGTCCTACATTTCTATGATGTGCTGCTGCCCTGTTAAACCACTGTACCAGAAAACTAACTCTAGCCAAATAATATCACCATGAAGGGTGGAATTCACTCAATTTTTCTACTCAATTCGCCTTGATGAAGGAAGTTTTTAAATTAAACTGTTAAGTGAATAAAAGTGTTAATGCAACTTTCAGCCTGCACAGTTAAATTCATAAAGACATAAAATGCTACATTTCATGGTATAGCAGCAAAGTTAACACAGCCCATTGCACATAATTAGTATTTAATCTTCCTGCTTTCCAGATTAAATCCATAGCGTAATATATTGCACTTTATTTTATACTTTATATTATAAAACTTAAAGGATGTTGTTGGTAGCTTAGTTTCTGCCCATTCTGATTTTTAATGATTTTCATTGTGCCACCTAAACACTGCAATGTTTTAAGTCTTATTACTATAATGTTTACTTCTGTTTTACCTTATTATATTGCACAAACCCAGAGAACATTCAATTCCTTTTATTAAATAAGTGTGGATATTTTACTTTGCTTATTTTCTGATTTCCATTTCCCTTTCTTTCTCAATGCATTTCTGAAGAGCGCAAAGACATTTCCTTGTCTCATTTATGTTGGATCCTTTTAATAAAAGCTTCTACATCAAAGTTACAGGATCCATTTGATGAAGTGAATCAGTTTCTCCGAGAGGTCACAGTTGGAGTTTTAGCATTTAAGAAAAGCAAAAGATCTAAAGGCAGGAGAAATGGACAACAGTTTTAACAAGATCTCAGATAAACACACAGTAACACAGCAAGAAATTCAGCCTCTACAAAGCAGAACAGCTCAGTGTGATTTGTCTTAACTACATCCAGGTGATCGGAGCCAGCCTACCCACTGAAAAGTGAGCCTGTGCTTCCGGCCCCTCATTAGTCTGTTTTTTGCGGCATGATGTCATTTTGTAAAGTTACAACAGTTGGTATATCAGGAATGAGAGGAAGACCTGGGAGCATTAGCACTTCCCTAGCTCAGTCATGCCATTTGTTAGATATTTACACATTTGCTTTTATTCAAATAAGGGTAGAAGGGTGAAATAATCAAAGTTTTCTATGGAATAAAAATTTCTAAAAAAAAATCTATTTGAAATGTTTTGTTTTGATATTACCACAGAAAAAAGGTTTAACATTCCTGAATCAAAACATATCATTTGGGCTCAGTTCAACATTCATCTGCATCCCCCTGACCTGCTATCATGCTGTCATAAATATAAAGGGAAGGGTAAACACCTTTAAAATCCCTCCTGGCTAAAGGAAAAACCCTTTCACCTGTAAAGGGGTAAGAAGCTAAAGATAACTTTTCTGGCACCTGACCAAAATGACCAATGAGGAGACAAGATACTTTCAAAGCTGGAGGGGGGAGAAACAAAGGCTCTGTCTGTCTGTATGATGCTTTTGCAGAGAACAGAACAGGAATAGAGTCTTAGAACTTAGTAAGTAATCTAGCTAGATATGTGTTAGATTCTGTTTTGTTTAAATGGCTGATAAAATAGCTGTGCTGAATGGAATGTATATTCCTGTTTTTGTGTCTTTTTGTAACTTAAGGTTTTGCCTAGAGGGATTCTCCATGTTTTGAATCTAATTACCCTGAAAGGTATTTACCATCCTGATTTTACAGAGGTGATTCTTTTACTTTTTCTTCTATTAAAATTCTTCTTTCAAGAAACTGATTGCTTTTTCATTGTTCTTAAGATCCAAGAGTTTGGGGTCTGTGTTCACCTATGCAAATTGGTGAGGATTTTTATCAAGCCTTCCCCAGGAAAGGGGGTGTAGGATTGGGGGGGAAAGACGTTTCCAAGTGGGCTCTTTCTCGGTTACATATCTGTTAGACGCTTGGTGGTGGCAGCAATAAAGTCCAAGGGAAAAAGGAAAATAGTTTGTAGCTTGGGGAAATTTTAACCTAAGCTGGTAAAAAATAAGCTTAGGAGGTTTTCATGCAGGTCCACAAATCTGTACCCTAGACTTCAGAGTGGGGAAGGAAGCTTGACAGTGCCTCATAGGAGTTGTAGTTCAAGTGCCTCAAGCTCCCAGTTTTCATCTATGGGCCAGGCTCCCCAGCCAGCCAACAACTCCCATGATGCACTGAGATCATAAGACTCCCATGATGCAACATGTTGGCTCAACTGGAGGGGAGACAACAATGTATCTTGGGAGATGTAGTCCAGCCAGGGACCCTGGTCTATAGGAAAGAATGGGAGCATAAAGAACCCAAACTATAACTCTCATGAGACAGCATGGCAGCTCAAAGAGACACAGATTAATGCCAGATTGATCTGAAATTTAAACATTTCAATTAGATTCAACAAACCAAAATGTTTCATTTCAAATCAACCCAAAATGAAATATTTCATCAGTTTTGTTTTCTCAATGGCAAATCAAAATATTTCACCCTTCAGTGCCAGGAGGGTCATTCTTGAGCTTTGTCCTGGTTTCAAACCTAACCAAGAGGATACATCCCATTGGTGCCCAGATACCAAGAACAAGGATTTTGGGAAGCAGGTGGTAATTAGTAGGATTGTTAGCATCAAGCTTAGACTTCTTCAAATTTGGCCAGCCCATTGCATTCTTTAGGAAAACTGGTAACTAGCCTTCTTTGAACAAGACACAGCTTATCTCAGTTATCGCAGGAGTCAGGTGTTTTATTGCTATTCTACACCACTGCTATTCTTCCCACAGTGGGTAAGGAATCTTTTTCACAGTTGGTGGGTTTGATACTTTTCAGAGCTTCCAGGGCTTTGACATGGGTGATGGGCCCAACTCCATACTGAGTTGCGTGCCGTTCCTGGATTTAGTTTTGTTTCCTTTGTCCCAGTGTGTCCCTCTGATTCTACAGATTTTTCCTATGAAGTAGCCAGATTAGAGAGCTTTGAACGTTAGGCAGGGTTAGGTCTGAAGGCGTGTTTAGGCACTCTGGGTCAATGAGCCAGTTCACGGCTCAGTAACCCAGATTCTTCATACTATTCTGCTGGTCACGATTTGGACAATGTAAATGTTGCTGAGAGGAAGGTTTCCTTAGTTTTCCTTCTTAAGGATGCAGTATATGTCTGTAGGTGAGTTTTGACCTTCTCATGTACGGGTGCTGATTGGGTTTTCCACCACAGGTATTCCAACCTTCTGTCTTCCTTCGTT